CATATTTTGGGGTGTCGACCCAAGCTCAAAGTGATCCTCGAGGCAAACACGGGATACTTAAAAAACGTTATTTTGTCCCCATTTTCCATTCATTTGTACATGGACCTCGCATAAATGTAATTCTGTTGGAACAGACATTAATGTTGTTGACTAAAATTCTAGCTATTGAAGGAACTTCGCCAGTTCAATCAGGTGCTGTGCGGTGTCTTCCACAATCTTTGCCTCAGCTTCATGTTCCTCGTTGTTCCTATTTTTGAGGTTTTGTTGTGTTCGGATCTATCCACGTAAAGAAATTTTTTGACGACCGATTGGTTACCGTTTCAGGTAACCAGGCACACCTTTCTTCCAACCGAAAATGACGAGGACGTCAATGGGTCACTACAAACGTGACGATCGACGGACTCCGGCCTCCATGATGGCAATGCTGCTGTCCTACTGCCTTACAAAATAAAGTTGATTATTCAAGGGCCAAAAGGACACCTTCGGAGTAGAACCAGGTGACACCGCATGAGGATGTATAAATTAATCGAATCAGGCAATACTATAGCTTTCCTTGGTACCGTAACCACTATGACCGAGTTGACTAATGAGCCAGTCTGAGCTCTGCGCATATGAGATCATGTTAACGTCAGCTCAATGGAGTGATTATAACTGGAAAACGAATTCCCATCCGGAACAAATATCGGCCAGGTGTTAAGATCCGTTAAGATCTCTGACGGCCAAACTCAGAGGTCCCACACACTAATGTAGTATGAACGGACTATTGCCCTATAGCCGTGATCCGATGGACGACGCATATCCCTATGAATCGTCTTCTACTTTGTCAGCCGTACCCACAAAGCAACCATTCTCCGAATCCAGGTCTCACCTCGAGCTTTGATAGTTCGTGTTGGATTTTATTCGACTGCCCACCAGTCCACATCTTCAGGACACTTCATCGCCAACGGAATTTTCCGCAATAAGAAGCATGGCACAAGGCACGGGGCACCGGATCGTGATGTACTGTTAATCGCATGGTGATTGGAATGCAGGCTAAGACAAATCACACGACTCTAGTAGCAAGATCCTGGTTTCAGGGAGGTGATGCCATTTTGGCTTCCAACGGAAAGGCTTTACCAGCATCAGTATGCAAATGTAGCATCCGAAACGATTTTCCCTGGCGTACTATTCTGTGCCCTGATAGACTCTAAATAGACATCCGGCCTAAATCGCAGTCATACCAAAAAGGCGGATCGAGGTTAGCAGGAGGAACAAATCACACCATGTTATGATGATTGGTCATGATGAATTCTGGCACCCTGAAAGTCACTCGCATCCAACAGGAGACTAGTGTCCATATTCGAGTTGTTTGTTCGACGAGCGAAACCTTTGTCTGAGTAAATGTCAAAGCACGCGTAAACAATTTTCCAACCTTCGTAATAATCAGACTTTTCGGAGACGACAATGTTTCACAATGCTCTTGACAGCTGGACAGTAAAGGCACACTCATATTGACTGGAAGGTCCGTGGTTTGAATCTTCTCCTGGCTTTTCAAATCCTTCTGTAAAGGCATAAGCAATCTGCCAGGACCTCAACCTTTCTTCTTCCTATGTGTGGCACCAGAAGGCAACTACAGCTGAACGGTTTTTGACTCAAGTATTTAAAAAAATTAAGAATTGATTTCCTGTGAATAAGTTTAGTGTTTTCTGCTCTGAACTTCGCATGTATACAGCAGCCTAAAAGTTCTTTTCATGCAGCACAAAATAGACAGCCGATGGGAAATCGCAAAATGGATATCTATATTTGCACTATATTGAGCTGTCTTACGTGGCATTTGGCGGCTCAATAAACTGATCTGCGCTAGGATGCTTTCCTGCCTCACCACGATCAACTGCTTAGAACTGATAAGAGGGTGGTTTTCGTCCCAGAAGAAAAGGAACAATGATTCGTTTTGGATCCTTACATCATTTCATGGTAAATTCCATCGAAGTGCTTACCCCTTGAGAGGAACCCTAAGTAATTCACAACGAATTATAGCTTCCAGTCATTTGTTTTCAAGATAAATGTACAACAAATACAAGTAGTTCTTTGGGTAGATTGGTTTTCAACGATAATCCAACACCTTCCTTGGCTACCATCAATAGCTATAAGTTGATAAAACAGTATCCTGTGAAGCATTTTTGAATGGGCTGGATGAATTTCATTCCAACTTGGGTTGAAAAGCACTCCTCATATTTCTGGAAGGGTTCGCCGAAAGACCGTGGCCATAATGGCTCAATTAACGGTCAAAAGACTGAACTGTTTTCGGGTTGCTCGAATCACTTCAGTTTGTTGGATTTGACCAGAAGAGTCAGAATAAATGTCATTAAGCATAGGGTGAGATGAACCTCTCACAATTTACTACAACGCACGCAATCCATGGGAACGCTCATTCTCAAAGAGCATCTGAGGGGACTTTCCAGTTTATATCCATATTTGGAACCTAGTTTTCGGATGACCGTCAAAATTGTTTTGTGTGGTCTCATACACACGGTCATAATCTCACACAGCCAAAGCCAAGAGTTCAATAACTTATGATTTGTTGCTTAAATCAGCAAATCACAGCACTTGTTTACACAAAGTAGTGATGTATACTTTGAGCATACCTTGTTGCATAATGCTGCAAGGCCATCGTACTTCTAATAACTACCAAAAATTGTATCACCGCTGAAGTCAAACTTTCCAAGCTAGAAGCGCTGAAATTTTTTCTACTTTCTCACACGTCAATTTTGCTTAAAATTATTCGCTGTAGTTCATAGCGCCATTCAAAACTTGAATCACCTTGATCATAACTTGGGGCTAAAATGCCGAGCCAATCGGTTCATGGATTGGTGCTCGAATCCAGACCAAAAAATGCCCCCAAAATGACTGCAATATCTAGCACATGTTGGTTTAGTTAGAGCCCCTCTCCAGGGAATCTGTATTTCAACTGCCTCATTTATCTTTCACCTACGTTCACCTAATACTAGGCAAATAATCGATTGATCATTCTGCCGCCATTTGTTTCTGTCTGAGGTAATGTCCTACTAGAACACAATGGCTATATACAAAGGGCACCACATTTGATTGACTGACAGTTCGCCCGCTACTGACTGGCTCCTTGAAACCCAATCACAACGAATAGCGGTGTATAATCACACAAAGCACAATTGTCCGCGTGATTCTGAACATTTCGCGGAACCAAATCAGTGTTCGTGAAAGCCAGACTCAAGATCAATAATCTACAGAGATTGAACTCATTAGCAAATCAAATCCGTTCTGCTTAAAAATACGCGGTCAGTGACATATGGTTAAGAATGAAAAGAAATTGGGTAACAAAATCTACGCCAGTCACTAGCAATTTATTTATCCTCAACCTGTCGGGAAGGGCCCTCTCAAATCAATTGGCATATAAACTCCTGAACCTCACAACAACCTGCACTTCGCTAGTTACGGCTCATAGCAGACGAGACTGCCTACCTATCGTAGCTCTTTGTATCAAGGCTGGAGGCTGAAGGTGTGCACCATTGCTAACTGACTAAAGAAGTGCTTCTGTCGGTGGTGGAGAGGATGTATACTGCAATGTTTAACTCGTACACTTGAGGAATAGAGCATGATCAAACTTCTACCTGCCTACTTCCTTGATCACTCTCAATTTCAAGCATGGAGTACTGATTAACACGGACGTGTCTATGGGTGGCATTTTTATTATTTTATTTCTATCGTAGATGTGTAACATGCCCATCCATGGTACCTTTGTCAATAAAAATGCTCTGGTGATATAATGCCTGATTGTGGCTACCATGAGTCTGAGATCTATGTGTAATTAAAAGCAATACCAAAATGATATCTTCAGCTAATTGAAAGAAAGCCTCACCTCTTTGTTCGGGAATGCAAAGAGATCTATTGGCTGATCATTGCTCATAAGGTTATTACAAATTCTTCGACAGCCAGGTACGAATTTATGGTCACTTGATCAGCCGTGTTAATGCGTTAACCGATGTCGGAATAATCGACCAAAATTTCCTCAGATCCCGCTAAATTGTGTCGTCAGTTTATTGTAAGACTAAGTCAAAAAGAGTCCACAAAATCGTTTCCTGTAAGTGTTGATATATAGTTAAACGTCCTCCAACGAATTCGAAATACCCCGAAGGGATGCCCAGTTTCTATTCAGTGAGGCCTTTTTAAGGTCACAACATTAGTATATTCCACCAGGAGTCTGTACAGAAGGCTATAGAAGCCGGTTACGTTTTTCAGAAACTTCACGCTTAAATTCTACCCCCATTTCGCCGCGATTCTAGAGCTAGTGTGCTTCCATTGGGTTTATTTGTATTCTGATCAGTATATTGTTATGGACATCTCCGGCATGAATACCACCTGAGTATAATTAGGTCAGTAAATTTTGCAAGCCTCAGTGGGATAACCTCAGGTTCGAGTTTCTTCACTATTTGACTGGAGTTTATCAATGAACTGTTTTATTGTGCAAGGCCTTTATCTGCAGTTCGGAAATGATGAGAAAGACTTCTTCATTGAACTAACTGATCGTACTTTTTATGGTGATCATGAAATATACGACGTAGGTAGCATCACATGTAGCGTAGTTATCGTGACACGTTCTATCTGCATCCTAATATTGATACTTACATTGCAAAACTGGTAAACTCTGAATGCCTCTGGTTGGTTTATGAATTTGTGCCCGCCTGAAAAAACGTCTCATCTAAACAGTTTTTTTCATCATTATCTGAACCTTGTGACAGTGAGCTAAAACGGAAGTGACTGATACAACGGGTTTGAAGAACCACGTTGTCTTTGTTATGTTCCGTTCCGCCTCTGTTCTCTCCATAAACAGAGCAAGTTAAAACTGATCTATGTAGTAAATGAAGGGACCAACTTCAGCTAAGTAGCATAGTGGTGAAAAATGTATGCTTTTTAACTTGTTTCGACTATGGTTTAGACGGGAATCCCATTCATACAGCATCGAATGCAACAAGAATGATACATTTAAGGTAAACATGTTAAACATCGTTCTGTTTACAGCAACACTTCTAGTGCCTACCTAAAGCTTGTAGGTTTTCTCGGAGTTTTTGAGCTTAGACATCAATGTACTTGAAAATCAATGCGCAAGACGTACGATTTGCATGATTGTCTTGAAAATAAAAAAGTAATTCTTTTGCTAAATGTATGTAATGGTCCACCAGATCCAGTGTAACTACTCATGGAAAGAATGGAAAGCAGAGTCTGTAAATAAAAATGGAAACGACGGGATAGTTACTTCATCCTAGAATTTCAGTTAAGATAGAAATTCTGAATGCTTATTGAACATAACACAAAAAAATCACCTACCACCTATACTAAAAATGTGAAGGATCTCCAATGAGACAGCAATCTAAGTGAGGTATCATGAACAAGCCTATCCAGGTTCACTCTGTAGCAGTATTCGGAATGAGTCTTAGCAGTGGTTGATTGCACTTCATTTGCATGTTCATCTGATATTTCTAAGAGACACATTTCCTGATAAAGCATAACGGATTCGGGTGTAGTTAATTCCTAATTTCTGAAGATTATTGTTGGTAGTTATATGGCTTAGATAGGTATTGTACACAAATCAGATTGCGTTCCTGAGAGGCACATTATGGCAGAAAACAAAGTAAACTCCACCGCTGAAGATAAAGTCGTGAAGATCCGCGGGATGCCTTCAGAAAACTTGCTTAAATGCAAAAGCGTCAGCTAAACCTGTGGAATGAAGTAGCAGCTTTTCATCAGAATTTCAGAACCTTTATACGGTAGAACGCCATAACCGCATGTACCAGAAGCATACATAGATAGCTGGTAACTTCCTGTAAAATGTTAAACACTATTTCAAATCCGGGCATTGAAATGTCTCTAAGTTTCACTGTCTCCAGCCTGTGGCGTCATTCGGTCTCCAAACAAATTCAAACAATAATTACGTTCATACTCTCACAAACTTACACCGACCCTTGAACGTAGCCCGATTTTTTCAGTAGCTCTTCTTTCGATGGCATTTTCAGTGACAGCACAACAGTGCAACCGTTTCCATCCTCATGTGTTAATTGCCTTTCCCCAACGATTGGGTATTTCCTGCTATTGTACTCAACAAATGGTCGGCCTAATGGTGACAATAAAAACAGTGGAATACTGTGATATTTATACCTGGACCTACAAGATGAAAAAAACAAATATGCTTCCATTATCTAACTCTCTCATTAGGGTTATCCTGTCATTGCGCCAACAATTAGAATAACACTTGGCGGCGAAAGAAATTCTCTTGGGTTGACAGCATGCATGTATACGTACCCAATTCAAACGTAGCATATGCGTTTCAGCTAATAGCTGCCCCAAACTTTAAAAAATATACTTTTTGTGCGGTAAAACCCAAAATAAAGCAAATTCTCCTAGTTGTGTTAAACAATCGGACTATTTTGTCAGTCTGTCAGCGTGAATTCCAAGGAATACTGTTTGAATAAACTCAAAAGTCACAACTCATTGGTGACCCAGACTCTGTCTTGCTACTGATAAATTATTAGATATTCCTGCTAAGGATGCTACTGCTTCCGAATAACTGAATATTTACCCCTTACAAAGTGTCGACAGATTGCTGCAGAAAAACTGAAGACAATAAAGCTGTCAAATGAAATACTTGTCAGATATCATATCCCGTGGTATTCCCAGGAGAAATTAGTTCTCTAGAAGCTTGAAAAGTTATCATCATTAGGAACAGTATTTTCACAAAATAAAGAAAAGTAATACTACCGTGAAAAATAGTTTTTTTCTTCAGATAGGCCATTTTTCCAGGGTTGTCTGAAACATTCCTCTTCCAGTGAACCAGCTCACTGGAGGATGATTTACTCAGAGCGCACTGCACCGTGCACTTTAACTCAGGGTGCACTTGTGCATATCAAACACCATTCAAGGCACAGAACCATTCCGCTAGCTTGGTTGCGTTCCTGTCGTACGGACCACCAAAATTATAGGTGCAGTGAGTCCACTTGGAATGAATGGAAGGAACTGTGGCATTAGAGACTGAAAGAATCTGTTCACTCATTGAGGAAGGGGCCTTTTACTGAAAGCTTGTCAAACTCTTTGAATTTGTTCAGCCATTCTTTTGACTTCCATGATATTCCTGTGGGTCCCTTTCAAAAAAGTTTGTTTGCGCCTTAGGGATTACTTACTGCATGTCTTAAAAGATCAGGAGTATTTGCTTCATCATTCCGCAATGTGACTGAAGTATAAGCAGTGAGCCTGACCCCATTTTCTCGAGTAAATTCCCGAATAACGTAACTTAAAAAAACTGCTTTGTCTTGGATTTTCGGTCTTCTGTATTTTATATTCTGACACTGTCCAAAGATAGCTGACAAAACCGTCCAAAGCGTAACAACCGTCTAGACTCTCGTCAGACACTTGTCAAGTAAACAAGGCCTCACTTTGCGATCTACAGAAAGGCGATAAACACAGACTTCCGCTTCAAACTGTATCTCAGGAGAACGAAGCAACAATAACAGTTAACGCTGTTAATGAAAAAGATGTAGGTCGAAGGGTCAAACCTACCGCAGTTGGAAACGTACCTTACTGTTCAAACGTCTGGCACAAATAATATAACGTAGCAAAAACCCTATCAGCAAGACAAGAACTGAACTGAACCGATAAGCATTGAAAACCTGACCCAAAATTAATTGGCGTTGGCCAGTCTGTTAGATAACGCGTACAACAACTCATCTACTGAAAGAAATAATCAGTTACTTCCTAAAAGCCTTTAAAAAGTCACTAACTAACAAACCATATTTCGGTTTTATCCTTTTTCTTGTACAGACTTGGAGAGCCTAAAGTGTTTAAACACTTCCATTATTAGAGACAGTACACTTTAAAATATCAGAATAGCCTCTACCTCAAAAATTCAGAACACTTTTAAAAACACATTCATTAGGACACCCCTTCCCATTTGCCCGTGTAGCAAAATACCGCTGTGTAAATTTTGATAGAGAACGTTTGAGACTACGCGTACTGCATTTCATTCTAAGCGGTTCCTGGCCAGTGCTTCAACTGGTTTTACTCAACATTACCTCTATGCAATCAAAAGGCCTTTTTGCATGAGTAATCTAAAAGGAGGTTTTTATGGAAGCCACGAAACCGCAGCCAAACGACACCTTCTGTGGTTTCTCGTGCGTATATTGTCATCCAACTAAATTTCCTGTCATTCAGTAGGCAAGAAAGCAGTCTCCGATGCGCAGCCCACCGATCTGACACCCTGATTCTGAATTCACATGTAGTTGCGGTTGGATATACTTCGGCCTTTTACTTGGGGGCAGGTCTCAGGGCACTCGCCCCGCTGTCTCAATCAAGTGGCCAATAAATAGACCAATAGAACAAAGCTATCCCCCGGAAACATACTTCATCATCTAAGGAACAGTCTACTCATTGGTCAGAAGATTGATCTCAAAAGAATTTTCCGAATACCGCTTCTGTGGTTACTCAAATTTGTGAGCGTTCAATGGGTCTCTGTATGTAACAAAGACCTTGAAGCAAACTGTCACCTTGCCTTGTAACCAACATTTAGATCATATCGACTTGTGAAGAAACTAGCTAGGTTCCGTCCCACTAACAGGCGAAGAGTAGTTTAATGTCATCTCTTGGTATTGTTGTAGGTAAGTTGAAAAGACGGAACCAGGATATCACCTCGAGCGATCAGTTAAAAATGATGTGACCACGTTAAACTAATCTATTTTCTATCAATTCAGTTGCATTATTCTCTTCTTATTGCTGTAAGAAGGACATCAACCAGATTTCAACGAATTAGGCCTAAGTACAGGTCGGCCAACGATAAGTTACCGGCCGATCATCTGGCACAGTGAATAACTTTAACCTCTCCAGTGAGACCGATTTGTTGTTATTGACAACAAACCGACCAACTACTTGTAGATTTTGCCCTACATTTTTCTGCTGAAAGTTGGATTGACAAGTCATCCATTTTTGTTAGTCAACTAGTTGGTCGATCAATTCAACCAGAAGAAAAACATCCACAGATCGTCCAACATGAAAACGTGGGGGGGTCATTAAATAAGTACGTTTATCTTAAACCGAGTGTGTACTGGTAGGGTGCGTTTGAAGTTTTGTGTGCCGTATCTATCTGGTACACACACTAGTTTGTGAATTTTGACACACTTCAAGAAAGATAACTTAAACCAAATAACGGAATTAATGATACGTGATGAATTCCGGGAAAATGAAACTTGTGAAGAGGGTCTGAAGACGCAACAACCATTTGGTAGCTGTGAGGGGCTTTACAGGGTCATAAGGGATTGTTTAACATTTTCACGGGTGAGAAAGGAACATACTTTACTGAGGTGCTTCACTTTACCGCAGAACTTTTCAACTAATATGTTTTCTGTTCTAAGAGGGCGGTGTCATAATCCTGAGAGTTTCTTAAATAACACACGAAGATGTGCTTTGGACTGCACGACCAAAATGAGGAAAAATCCCATTCGATTTATACATTAATAACCACGGCCTTCAAAATCCAAACTGTTTTCTAACAAATGCATATACAGCTGTTTGAGTATTAGTAACTAAATCGTACTACCTAACGGGAACCTATTTGGCAGTTCACCAGGTAGATTAGTCCACTCAAAAATTTATCTTTTAAATATAAAGACGGATCATTTATCCGAACGGCGTAAAACATGCACAAACAGAAATGCGACCACAGAGAGCATTAGCCAAACCCTTTGTTCACGGTATCTATGTATTTCTGTCCATCTTTAGGTTATGCGCAAAGGCGCTTTGGAAAGTTTTAACTAGATTACTCGAGTGGCGTTCCCATCGCTCGGACTGTGGGAACCTGACAAAAAATCACATGCATCGACCCTGTTGACAAACTGCATAACTGCTGGTCTTCTAACTTCCCAGCTCTGTGCGGTGAAATTTAAATGCATTTTGTGGAACTTGGGAGCCTCTATCATGGTCACCTATGGCGAGCATTTGATTATTGTTCCAACTGTGCTCGTATTCCTCCTGTAATTCATCTCCCTAATGTACATGTGCTGTATGCGGTTCCTCCTTAAACGAATCCTAAAAAGCATAATATGTTCAAATTTGTCCGGGACTAGATGACACTTTTACGAACGCATCAGTCACACGTTTGCGAACCCTGGAATGCACTTTTCATGGTCCATTTACAAAAAATTTCAACTTTCTAATCAATAAAAACAACCAAAATTTGTTCGCCAAATCTGATTACTATAAAATCCAATAAAAAACTCCACAAAATGCTCTATTTGACTTGAATAGATGGATCGGCCCGTTTGGTTGAGTCCAAGAACTGACACACGGAACAACATTATGCTATCATCTTTTCTAAAGGGACAAATAATGTAGAAAGAAATCCAAGTAGTGCAAGCAATTCGCTTTACTATGAACATACCATTTTCATTGTATTCTACTGGAATAAAAAATGTTGCTGGTTCTACTCCGTAAATGGCAATACCCACGACGAAGAAAGTCAGCAGACACTTCATGATCGTTTGATGAACCTCAGAAACTGAAAAATAGAAGGGTGGTTCCCAGCAGTGGGGACATGGGGGAACAGAAAAAGAAGAGAGATTCACCATGTGTATTCCCATCTGAGCCTTCAGACGGCATTATCAGGCCTTCTGTTTCTCAAGTTTATGGCTTCCGGCAAAGCCATAAATGAAGTAGCATTTCCCCAAAAACGACATGCCCTACAAGGACAATTTTCTTTCAAATTCAAAAAACGAGGTTAAAGTCTATTTGTTTTCAGTGGATATCATATAATTTGAGAATACTATGGTTGAAACGAGGGTTTTGTTTCATAACGAGACAGCATCCAGCTCGGTTAGTTGAGTCCCGGTGTATGGGATACAACATCATGGTTTATAGTGGTCCTGGTTACTCGCTTTTGTGTCCATTCCTTTTAACAAATACGTCAGGAATCCTCGTATTGTTCTGAATGAATATTTTTGAAACAAATCGCTTAAGAACTCAGTGTTATGCTTGTGGATTGATATGCAAAGTGGAGGCGGGCTGCCTATCTATGTCCTGTATTAGTGGCGCGTTAGATTTTGTGCCTCGGTAAATCAAACAACCCACTTCAACATCTGAATGTCATTTGACAGAAATCTTTGTGGTTTACCACGAAGATTCTGTGAGTCATTTCCGGTTACTTTTTTCACTAAAATCTTTCACGGTTCTATAATGTCACAACTGACTAAAAGACCGATTAAACTGTCCGAATTTCTATTGTTGGTAGACATCTATTACGAACGCCAGTCTCATGATTCCACGCCACAGCTCATCTTCATAGCCCATTGAATGTCATTCAGCACACGGCTGTAACCTGTAACCGGCGTCTCAGAGCAAAGGAGTTTAAAGAGTTTGTATGTTGTAGCATTTTGCTGCTAGGCATAGTAGATGGAACAGTCCCGCACATGGTACACTATCAAATAAGGCTCGTAAAGCTTAGCAACTATCCGTCGCGCACAAATCGTGTAACACTAGTGTAAATAAGTTCGTCCGCTTAATCGTTCTTGCCAAAATTTTAGTGTGTATGTGCAACGGCGTTCCTGATGTCCAAATAAAAGACCAAGCTGCCGAGTTTTGAGTAACGACGGTAGAGCCCCCGGTGCATTCATTTCAAACCGGAGAGGCTTGTGAGGTAGCAAAGCTAATTACTGACCGCGGCAGTTCATTATTACTGTTGTTGCTATAAGAGATCAGATGATTTTGAGGTGTGCTTTCTGATAGTTCCAGGTAGTTCAAAAAAGGCCTAAAAGTAGGAAAGTTCGTTTGATATAGCTTTTGCTTTATTAAATGAAAATTTCAAACAGCCCCGATTTCAGTTGACATGCTGTATCTCTACCGTTAGGCTCATGGAACCTGCCAGATATGACATTTTGTCCAGCAGGAACTAAACCAATATCCTGGTGCCAAACTTATCTAGCTGCGACTGTACCTCTAATGATTGAATGAATTCGGATTGGTAATTAAGTGCACGGGACTGTGACCTAAAAATATTTTTGCTATACACGACCATTAGAACATTCAAGCAATGAATTTTCTTTTGACTGGCATCTGATTCAACAAAGAACTGTATGACTCGGAATACACCATACTAGCCCAAAAACGGAGGCACTATTGAAGTCAACATTCTGGCTACTAGTTCCTTCGCAAAAAAATAAGGATTTACTGAACCGATGAAACAGTTCCGCCAAAATGTTTGGACCGTATTTTTAACTAAAGAGTAAGGGTTCCTGCCGAAATGGATCTCTGAATCTCATCACAAATTAAGGACTCTAAAGGGAAATTTTTCAGTGAAGGCAAAGGCCGTTTGTAAAACTCCCCATGTTGGTTTCCACTACATGGAACTCTTAATCTGATACCCGATGAGATCAGTTTTTGGTGACGTGTCACCTACGGAATCCTATTCACCAGCACCGCTAAAACTGCCATCACGGCTTTTATTCCATCTTGCGGTAACTGCTTACTTACGGGTGAAATTCGTTGAACAAAATGCTGGTTGCCAAAACTAATAGTTTTATTAGAAGAGTTGGCAAAGGTGATGAATTGAAAACTTATGTCCAATAGCCTTTCTAGAAGTTGGTTAGAAGGACAATGTGAACCAGAGTATTGGACGTGCTAAAACAATGATGTCGAAAATTTAACCAATCACATGAATAAACGGTAATCAACTTACGGCGTCCAGTCGCGAGTAAGCTTATGATACTTAAACCTGTTATATATGCCAAGTAGAAAAGTCACCGGAGATGTGATTGGTGATGTGTCAGGCCACCAATGCGACGGAATTTTGTTGCCTGCATTAAGAATAAACGTAATGCCCGGAGAGACTCCGAGTTCATGCGACGATTTTGTGGCTTTACAACCCCGCGCGTTTACAAAATTGACCATAAATAAAATATAAATGGGGAAAGTTGCATCACTGATGAAAGTAGGATATATCCCGCTTACTCCTACAGGAACACAAATTAAACAGAATATTGGTAGTATATATATATATATATATATATATATATGCTTCGTGTTTCGCCTCAGTGTTCATTTATTTTTACAATGATCTTTACTGAGTTTTACAGCGTTGGCATTTTGCTCAGAATTGGCTTGATTCATGCTGGCTGGCGGGTGTCGTCAATTAGTCGGTGGTCATCTGTGCATAACCATCATCAGTATGGCTTACAATGGTGTTCTTCAAGTTTATGATTTGAAACAGCAGTCAGCCAGCAATTACGTCTTGCTTTGGTCAACGGTGTCCACCTTTTTGAGGACTCAGCACATCCCCTAACCCATTCGAGTAAGCTTCTCTAAGACAGAATCATTGCTACAGTACTAATTCAGTAGTCACGGATAGTATATAGGCAATAAATGCGGGTAAACGGATTCGTGTAGAAACACTTTCGAAGATGTCATCTGACCTCCCGAGACAGATCTTTTCCAATTTTGGTTAGTTAGGTTAATATCGGTCAAAACGCTTCTTTTAAAGCAAAGAAAAACTGCTGAAAATCTGATATTGTAATTTAGCTCCCGCGGAAAATGAAGTTCCTTCTGCATGTGCCCAAGATTGTCGATTTCCGTGGATTGTATTCCAACAGTGCGCTTTCATCGGTTTGCTCAGCAACAGACAGACGGGCCAGTTTTTTCTGAGCATGCAAAACTTGGTGCCTTATTACTATCATGTTTTGGTCTGCTCGGATGCCTTTCCTTTCTCAGAAAAGCGACTGGTGACGAAAATCAACTTCCACAATTTGAGGAACCCTCAAATCAGAGTCCCATATTTCGGACTACGTTTTCTTAGTGTAAATGCAACAATGCTTAGCTTTTCCCAACATCGTCCCCTTTCATTGCTTTGGTTTCGTCCGCCATGAGTCCATTACTCCTAAAATAAGCCACTGAAGAATAAGAGGACTGGGGATTCTGCACTTACTTCCAGATCAGCGAGACAACATTATACAAATTCATTGCAATACAGAAACCATATTTTGGGCAAAAAATTTGTTTTATGACTAATTCTTCTCAGTATGATAACACATCAATATGTGTGAATCCCCATGGGTTTCGCCATCAAACTCATAGAAAACCTTATGAGTTGCTCAGCGAACTTATAACATAATTTGTAACACAAATTCAACTCAATTTCTGAGAAGTGGTAACATACAAAGTACACTGTGAACTTGTAATTCCTTACAGTTTGACTCCAGACCACGTTTATGCACATCAGTACCCGCAGTTGAGGAATTTCATTCGATGTCGAATGGCTGATCCGAGAGTTTGGAAAGTTACTAATGGAAAATGTGAATTCCGATAATGCGCTATTGATTATAAAATAATAATAAGCTTAAAGGCTTTCTAGAGGTGAGTGTATCTGATGTTTTGTTAGTTTTGAAGTCTGTCTTATTTACATGTATTTTGTTATCTTGGAGTTTGTCTTATTTCCACCGGTATTTTTAGATGGCTCAGCCAATGGATTACTTCATGGTGTGAAATTGCTTTGCAAGTGAGAAAACCTCAGCTGAGAAATGAGATTTATGGATCTGGAGCCCTATATAAGTCTGGTAAGTGATAGACTCTATGGGATTTTAGTAAGGTAGCTTTGAATATGATGTTATTTTGAGGGCCACTATGTTGTTGCGCTCACACTCGGTAGCTGTTATCAGATTTCTTTCTGTGTTAACCAAGCTCATCACGTTCTCAGTGTACGCAACAGCAATAACTTCCCACAGTGACGTGCCTGTTAAAGAGGCACTAACGGTGGAACAAGTCCGTCACAGAAAACGTATAAACTGTGGGTTCTGGTGGCAAGCAAGGCTTTGATATGAATCAGATATGAATGAGACCATCCAGGTACATGACGCACTTGCTAAGCCAGTGCACTTCAAAAAACTTTTTGGCTTTGAACACCCGAAAAAACAAGACACTGCAATTCTGAAATCGATACTATCAGTATTCCCACACGTGGGTCTACTAGAGCAAAACGATCATACATTCTTATGCAACGAATGGAGAATGTAACAACGAAAATTCTTCTTCTAGGGAAAAATATTTCGCCTTTGTGATTTAGATGAGGATGAAAGAGCAAGAGAAAAATAATCGGATTCTCTCGAGGCACTCAAAATTTTGCCAGACATGACGAATTATTACTTCCATTTTCTTGAGTAGAAGTTGCCTGGGCTACTCAGACCACAATTCACATAGGGTATGACACTGATTCGACTGCAGGAGACCTTGAATCCAAGGCTTATGAAAGTCAACCACCAGACACTTTAAAAAAGCGCCGTTCTATGAATCTGAATATTTAGGCCACGTGCGCAAACTTGCTGTTGACGGAAATTGTTGCGCAAAATTAATCGAAAATTTCGAATGTGTTCAGCGACACCTAAAGCTACAGAAGACAGTGTTTTGTAGCCCGCTCTTTTTGATGCAGTATTCGTTCTTAGTTCCATGCACCTGATTTCACCTCGAACTTTTGGGGAAATCAACACCACTGTAGGGCTTCCAGCTGAAAATCACTTGTCGATAGGATGAATTACCATGAAACAATTTTGATTACGTTCACGAAAGTCTGTATCATATTATGGCACAGCGACAGCCTGGCTTCCCGTAAGTTGGTGGATGCACCATAAATTTGGGATGATCACTCTCTGGAAGATAAATTTATGCATCTCTCACAGTTGGTGAACGTCGTTAATGTTGAACCCAAAAGGCAGAACACTGTACTCTGAAAATGTTCATCATGTCGCAATCAGTGAACGACTGAACTCGACTCATTCGGTTTATGTACAATCAATCTCTCTTGGTGAATGAAGTCATCCAATATTCAGAAATGCTTTATATTCCACATATATCGACTTCAGAAGAACTCACGTACAGTTCCATAACAGTTCCATAAGCATTTCCTCTCAAATTAAAGCACGATGATTCACCGTATGCATTGTTCAGTTTGTCCAACATGAAGAAAGTAAACACTGATGAGCGGGTACATTTTTTGAACTAAGCCTGGTGTAGTTTGGTACACGTTGGGCAAAACATGTCGAACTGAACATCAGTGGTTTGTGCGGTCATTATGTAATCAGTAGATGGTAACTCTACCCGAGTCCAGTGAAGTCTAAACTCTGTCTGCTTGATGTGTTCTGTGGGATTTTGCAGTTAGATATTGGGTCACCGGATGTTCATCAGTTCAGCGTCGCAGAATATCTTGTCAACACTTTTTGGCGAAGTTCATTCTTACTGGCACTGGTGTTACACAAGCAGAAACGACTGTGTACTTGTACGTGCTTTGTTTGAATTAGTGGCATTCATGAGAGCGTTTTGGCAATCTTACGCCACATGAATAACACAGGCACCGAATACTGTGATTACTTAGCCCATTTGAGAAGTTGATAACAAAGCATTCGCAATTCAGAGAATCAAAGCTTCCTTTTTAGTTAAAGAAAGCTGAAAGTCCTGTGGAGCGCATGCACAAATCACGCCTGCGTGCGTGAATTAATTCAAGTGGTGAAATCACAGAATGGATTGACTCATTTAGCGAATTACAGAGATTTTGTTCCATAGGCTTAGGGACTAAATTACCCTATTAGAGTTTCATAAAATGCGGGTTCGATCACATCAACCCTCGTTTTGCCGCTGCAACTTACTAGAAGCGGCCTTGACCTTGGCTGATTAAATCTGTATTAGCCACACAAGTTGACATTCACCCTGCAATAACCTATCCGTCTTCATTCGTAAATATTCAGAACCAAGGTTCACACTTACGACGTAACCACCTGACGAGATTTATCAAACTAGTTTGTTCCGAAAATTGTAATTTGTGAGCGTAACGGCCAAAATTGCTGTTGAATAGATTCATAAAATTGCAATTCTACTTGCCTAGGCCGCGTTCGTTTGAAGTTGTCGGCAAGTAGATCTAACGAAGCCGACGTATGCCGAGCTCTGACTTACGCCGATATTTGCACCGTCTTAGGTAGACATTTCCACGTTTATTCGCAAGACTTCAGCACGACATCGGTTTATTTTAAACACCTTAAAAGTGAAGGGTGATGTCTTAGCAAGAGCTGCAGCCTACCTTGATAAGTAGATCAGTCCGCTCGTAAAAAAGGTTGGGCATTCCAAGAATAAACTCATTCAACAGCAACTGGACTTGATCACGAAAATCAAGTGAACAACTGATTGGAGACCGTAAACATCTGGTCCACTACTGGAATCTTTGGTGCACTATTATCAACAAAGAATACAAATAGTCTGGAGATTCGTTCCGAGAAATCCCATGATGAGGAAAAAATATAACTAGAGCCTTTGAGGTTTGGGACACCAGTGCGGAAACTTATGAATCTGTTATTGAAAGTACTGCGAAAAGAATTCCATCCACATGCTCTGTGTTACAGTAAAATGCGATTCAAACCGTTAGGGAGCTTGCGCAGATAATTTAAAGCTACAAAAACATCACGACGTACGCTCGTATTTACCAAGCGGGAAAAATCCTAGGATTTTGAGAAAGGGACTGCAGTTGAACGACCGGTTCACTTTCGGGGCTACGTAAAGACGTCATCACTATGTTGACGATACCTTGATCTGAGTTCTTATCTTTAGCCGAACTCTTGGTGATCACAAGAATGTAAAGCAATGACAATCGTGCTTTTATGGTTTGTTGTTGTGGAAGCCAGCGGGTGACCTTCAATTTTTCCACACCTAAGTTTTGAACGGTCAAGCGTACTCGATCTGCGTGACATAGCACTTGTCTACTAATCTGTAATCAAAAACCAATAACCTGTGCAAATTATGAGTCTCAAAATTTGGTCCTGGTTGAGAGCAGACAATGGAAAGTCATATACAGTGAGATCGGTGGACAGAATTACCAAAGATAAAACTGTGAAGGTGGAGCTAAGCAGTTGAATATGATAAATGCTGAAGGCAGCCCGTTTTTCGGTAGTAAGACTACACTTTACGTACTTAGGTTCCTAGTAATCCCTCTTGACCTTGTTTCAGAGCTTCTTTAGTTAGCACATGACATTCGTTAACCATCACTAAGGGAAGAACAGAATTCTAGCGACGATAAGTTTGCCACTTCGTCAGTTAGGTGGAAGACTAGCAACTAATTACGCTCAAAGAATGAGAAAGCCCGAATGTTGTATTCAAACGATCTCTTTCAGACTAATTTTATTCCCATTGGTCGAAAGAGCTGTAGTCCCGTTTGATATGTGCTCAATTTCCTCTGGTGAATTTCAGCAGTTGAATGAGAACTTGGGCGCACGGTATCCGAAACTGAACACAGCTCAAGTGAGGCGGTTGCGATCAGTGCAGCGTTCGCATTGATTAAATCATACGTGACCTTGAAGCCCTGTGATACACTCGACAAGACCACATCCTGCTGTAAAAAAAACGCGATAAAGCATGGTAAGTGGTATTTGTATGTTGGCCACATACGGCTTATAAAACTAAAGGATCCTATTCGGTAAGTCGCATTTGCGAAGTAGAACGATACTCGATGAGGTGCCAGCTGATGTGACTTCCACTAAAGGTTACTTAATTGTTTTTTGTATAGATTACGCAATGGTCAAGATAAATCACGACCGGTTAGCAACTTATATACTAGTTCTTTATACAACAACCAAATCAGCGGATCAAGTCTAATCTACGGAGGTTTGGACACAACTAGCTAAACGTAGCAAACCATTTGAGGTGAATGACTATGCATTTCCTCATCATTTATCAAGGTACAAGAATAGTTGTACTAAGGACCCAGTCTCTGGCAGTATAATAATGAACATTTCGTGTTACTGTGATTCAGTGACTACCTAGAGTTGTTGGGCTCATCATCATCGTTGACAGGATGATATATCAGTGTTCATCACTAATGCTTCGCTGTTGGGTTATGAGCTATGCGCTCCCTGGTTCATCGAATCTCATGATAACCCCAATAAATTCAACTTGTTGCTACCTTTTGCCTTTTTTCCAGACTGACCATACAACAATGTTCATCCCCACCAGTTGTCTCAAGCTAATTTTCGTCTTGATTAGTTTGGGAGTCTTTATTTATTGTGCAAACGGGTCTGCTTTTATTGTTCCCGTGAAGTACGACGAGCGAGGTAAGTCAAAGTAGATTTTTCCAACCTCACCTTCTGTTGTGTTGACTAGCTTTTGTAGCTCCCACCAAAAACTTGTATGAATGAACCTCTGTCGTATAGTTTCAATCCAGAAAGACATTAGGATTTTTGAACATCCCACCATACCGTGCTCTGTTTGTACATTCGGCAAGAAACACCCCAATTAAAGTTATGTCTGTGCCCAAGTCCTCCGGAAAATCTCTGGAGAACTCATTTTGCGCGTAGAGTCTGAGATACAACTACCTAAGTACTACACAATTATATCTGTCTGATTGTGCTCTCCGGCTGAAAGGGCTAGTCCTTACTTCGCTGGTTGTGACCTTCAGGTCTTCCTTTTGTCGAATATGGGGAACACAAGTACCCAATCAAGGAAGATAGGGATATCAACTTTCGAGACGAAAATGGATGTACCGTTCACCTAGATCTTCGTCTACCTACGATGGATGAAATGGAAATGGAAACCGGATTTGTCCAGGGATCTCTGTAAGTTGCTGTCGCTGCAGCGTTAAATTCCGTTTTTGATTTGGTCCTCCCCGTTAATTTCAACCAATATTCACTCAACAAATTTTGATGTGTTGGTTGCCCAATCCAGCATAACCTATTCTCAAATGTCAAGAGTCTTGCATACGGAGCTAGCAAGCTTCTTCGTTAAGTAAAAATAAGCAAAGGGCGGTTCACTGCTTCCGATGAAAATCAATTTGGTTGCCAAACGTGGCTACGTTTAGGTTTTAGTTTCACATAAAACGGACCGCAAAGGATAGTCAGTTGCATGTATCGGAAACTATATTAAATGTTCCGCGTGAGGTGACAGAAACTTAGCTTCCATATTATGGGTGTACCTTGATAATGAACCCTTCTTTGAAAGTGGAGTAAGTGAACGCGTAGCACCCTCCATTCATAGCCGTTTGTCACCACCCACGATTGTACCCAAAACTCCAGACTGGCAGAAAATCATAAACGGGAGATTCAGCTGGGTTGCATGTGAGTCTGCTGTCAGAACCAATTTGCAATGCAACTGTATTTGAAGGAAATGTCATGAAAATCTAAAACTCTGTTGAGTTTCTGAGTTATTCATAGATTCACTTATTGTGAAAGGGAAATCAGGCAAATTCCTAATAAGGTAATCGTCCGTGATATTTCCCTCTTGAATGTGCAGCTGGAGCGATTTAGGACATATCGAGGTATTCTTACTCTATAAGGGATACTACTTGCGAGTAGCCAATACCATTTTCAACAAATGCACCTTGCTCACCTCAGTAAATGTTGTCGTCCGTAGATGACGCCATATCTGGATATGCGTCACCCTTGGCGGATGATAGCGTGAAGGAGGAGTATTATGTTTAAGAAAATACCAACTCAACAACAATCAGATCTCCAAACCGTTACTTACATTAGGTTGGTATAACGTATTTGTTATTTTGGTGTACAACTTCAAAATGCGTTATTGTTTCTAGGTCCTAATACGTAATGTAACGAGAAGACGTGCACTACAGAGGAAAATGTTGGTAGCCCAGATAGCGTAGGTGGTCATTGGTTTGTTCACTGAGCTGGGTAATGTGATTGCAAATGCTTCATCACTAATCGAGGTGACATCATCATTGCGTTGTTAGGGGGCGTAGTGGTGCGTAGCGATGGGTTCGTTTTTGTACCGGCACAACGGACACATGTGGCTACATGATGGGTTTACAACCCGCACAGAGGAGACTTGATTGACAGAAGCATATAGACTTCAGCTCGAGATAGCTGAGCGGTTAAGAGTCGAGACGGATGACCAGGAGATCAACAGCTCAAAAGCAACACTGGCTTTCTGACTATTTCTGTCTAAGCTCTGATAAGCAGTCGTACCCCGGCCCTCGTGGTTGCATGCGGAACGCGTAGTAGTCATACACCGAATGGTTCTCGCAAAAGAGCGATTCATCCTTCGCTTCACTTACGGAAGTTAGAATCTGAGCTAAACCTGTCTACTGGACAAATCACTTCAAACAACGGCCAAGCACACATCGTAGATATTAAAAATCTTTCGAGTTAGCTACAAACAAGTGAATACACACCGTTATCAGAGATGAAAACCTACGCACTTTTAAGGACACAACATTATTTTAAAAAATCTACGAAAATTTAGACATTACCCGCTTAGATTCGCGTTAGCACGGTCTGTTTAGAGTAAACCCGAGAAACATTTTTGCACCGGCAGAATGTGACGAGTGCTGGTGCGACAACCTAGTGGAAATTCTTCTATGTAGTGGAAAGTTTCTGTCTCTCATAGATTTTAGTTCAGGGAGAACCTACGGATTATTTAAACCGTGCTTAGGGCCCAAAAATGCATAACCTCACTCATCTGCTTCAGATGCATTCAACTGATAACGAACTGTAAAACCAAGTCCCTTTAGTGTATCAGACGGCCAGCTGTAGTCTCACCTCGAATTTTCATATCGGTCTAACGTTGCCGGACGCAACAGTACCTATCTAACATTTTGTCTGTCATCCCTTCTATGCGGGGTCAACAACGTTCCAAGACAAGGATGGATTGACGCGGCAACAGCCGAAGCCCAGCAACTTAGATTTCAGTGTGATGTAACCATCAAAACGTTTTGTAGGCGTAACACACATTCATAGAGTTGCTGAAAACTCTTCGACAGCTCTTCTTCGGACTCATCAGGTAGACACAGTCCCCGAGTTTTCTGCAGTGATGCTTATGACAGTCATTTCGTGCATAAGATACCTGTTGAAATACTAAATACAGATGCGTCAGTTGGCTTAGAAAATTAGCATCCGTAGTATTCGTACATTTATCACTTAATATGTATCATCACCAGATTCACATGCCAGTTCCGATAATTAAAAACAGATTTGCGCAAAGATTAAGTTAATCTCGGTGTGCACTGTCCATAGGATAAGGTTGTCCAAAAACATCTTGCTTCGTACAACAAGAGCTGGAAGCTACTTCATGAGCAACATTTTTGCCGATAGAAACATTTTTACAAGATTAACGTAGACGACGACAATGTATACTGTGATAAAGTACAAATCATACTTATCTCTTGGCCATAACAGGCAGCACCAAACAGGGCAACAAAAAATAAAAATGAACCCTACAGCAAATTCCGCTCGCAATAAACTATTAATCGCTGGTCGTTTGCGCCATCGCCACCCGTGTGGTATGGAGCTGGGGGAGCCCGGTTGAGTTTCTTTTCCCTTATTTTAATAGTGGAACTAACCTTCATAGTTTTCATGATGGTGAGGACAAGCAACAGTTGATTTCTCTGGCTACCTTCGGTCCATTCTTATGATTTAATTAACTGCTTCTACAGTAGACTGCAAACGGGAGACAAGGTCCCTCAATGTGGCAACGAACGAGATAACCCACATGGTAATGGTTTCGAGCATCCAATAAATATGAGCGAACAGAGTTGAACTGCGACTGCAGTTCAGCGATCCATTAATCAAACCAGAACTTAGACACTTCTAGGTAAATACTTAGAAAACCTTTCCTGGTCTGTCTGAAGAGTCCTAACCGTGCTAGTAGACTTTTATACCATAAGTACCTTTGGGGTATTATGAAAGCCTGTCCTGAACGACCCCATATATTAGCCTCCTCTATGGCTCGATGTGTAGGTGGGGTTTCCCACCAAATCACCAAACACTGAAGGAGCAATGGGAGGTCGATCGACAAAAAGGGCTTACTTAAATCGGTTATCATTAAAAGTTGTGAGTAGTGAAACTCAGTGCACGTGGATCACGGTCCAAATATTATTTTGCCTAATGCAAAATTGAAACTGGATTCACCAGTTAAATGATGAGTGGCAAGTGCGCTTTAATGCAAAGAATAACATTCGATTCTCTTCACACTAAAGCAAATGAGTGTGAGGACTAACGGGTTTGTAAGTAGGGAAAAAATACTCAGGAATCACCGGTTCAGGTTCGACTGTGGTATCAACTCTGAGGTGGGTAACTTTAGTAGACAGGAAAGTGGGTGCGATAGACCCTATTAGTCTTGTGGATTCGGTGGCCGTTTATCTGCTGACTTATAACCAACGCACCCGAGCCACAAGTATTTCTACTTATTGCTACGCATACGTGTGGAATCAGTATCTCAACGAACAAGGGCGACTGTGAATGCATTTTCGTGCCTTCATTGCTTTACGCAAACAGCGCATAAGAACGATTTGCGAAAGGTTGACAGCTGCCCCACTTGAAAAACTACTTCCAGAGTAGAGGCGTCCCGGTGATCGATACGGTCTCTGGTACCCATTGAAAGCTGTATAACCTCTTACCTTCCAACTCCGTTCATTTCAGCATGCTTTTTATTTACAAGCTGCAGAACCCGTACACCAAATCAAGTACCCCCGGCACAAAAAAACCGGTAGCATCTAGCGATTGGTTGCTAGAGGCTTCTGAAGTGTTGTCCATGTAGAAACTACAAACTCACGATGATTTACTTCTGTTTCAGGTTGTGTCTCCGAAACGACGATTACTGACGGAGTAGACGATACAGATTATTAGTATTGAACGTTAAGTAGCATTAATATACTGGTCCTTATAACCTGCTTCTTTCCACACATTGTATCAGGTGATATATTTCAATGACTGCCAATGGTTCGTCTGTGTGGGTGAAAACAACGGAAATATGTGGTAAACCGACTAGAAGTTGATAGGTTCGCTAGTGGTTCATAGTGTACATAAAACAATACATAAACGGTGCTGCCCAAGTAGAACGTCGTCAACGCGAGATCCAGAGAACACACGATCACGATTAGTACTCCTTTATGCATTCCTATACCGCTGAACCAATGCATCGCAACATATTACATTAGTGAAATGAGAGGTACGTTTTACAGTTGATTCAGCAAGCCCGCATGAATTCGGAATATTGATGGATCAAATGATATATGATAAACACAACTTGTCAGTCATATTGCATAGCCACAATTTCATGAATCTAGGAAATCAGGTATGAATTGTTTCAAGTCTTGCTGCGCCATTAATGAAGACTGAGCAGTTATATGGCCTCAAAAAACTTACAACTGCTGTCAGAACCAAAGACTACCTAATCGCTAAGACCAGGTGAACGCAACCCGAATTCGATGGATCAACAGCATTTGAAAAGAGTCGGAAAACCGACGAGCTGACCACAGGGACGTTTTTTACAGCCTAGCGTATCTGTAAATTACAGATGCCGGAAGCCAGTTAGAATAATGATACGTAATATCAGGATTAGTAGGAAGCATGCCATTTACCCTCCTGTAGCACCGGTCATATTTATTAACGGCAAGGTAACCAATTTGCATTCGGTTATTTCATTCGCCTTTCACACGCCTGTTCCTAGCCTAATACTTGACATACAAAAATATAAAACCAACAAAAAGGATAATCATGACAGATTTAACCAGGGTGCATGTTTGCCCCTGGATTCGATGCTAAAGAATCTCGATGACAAAGTAACTTGTAGATTTTCACACAGGAAACTACTCATAAGGTTGCGGAAAATCCATCGACAGCCCACGACCAGCTTCGCCCTTCTTGGGGCTCATCAGGTAGGCGCAGTCCCCGGGTTTCCGTCGACCTTATGATCTACTTGAACCTAAATTGCACTGTTTCCGAGAAATACCTGTAGATTGTACAACGGAAATCGCACCCAGCAGTTGGAGAATTTACGAATGAGCGGAATGTAGAACCTAGGCTTAACGTGTATCCCAAACAGTAAATTCTATCGAAATGAGAAATAAAAGGATGCTCAATTAACAAGAATCTCCAACCTCTGGACTGTTACAAAACCCGTCGTTTGGAAGCAATGGTTTACAGTAACCCATAGAAAGGGAGCCTTCGTAAACGTCATTAGCATTCGCGTACCACCAGTCTACTCGGCTACAACGTTAACTCATTCAACTAAACTCCGGTGTTCATTCGCTTAGTCTGTTTTAGACGCTATGCTAGAATCCATGTGCGTCGTTCAACTGTGGAACACATGGTCTGATGGAATCACTCGCTGCAGTTATGCGACTTTTTTGCCGGGACTGACCGTGTTCAGGCGAAAGGACCACGACTTATACGGTTCCTCAGTCGCTGCACAGGAAATCTGACTTGAAATATTTATTCTCAACACAGACTGGTGCTTGTAGAAACCCGAAAACTGATAGCTATACGAAATTTCTGTGTTCCGGAAGTATACTGGCGCTGAAAGGAAGGAAGTAATATGGCACCATTTAGCATGTTTACTCGCAATGGGCATGAATTAATTTCAAAGGTACACACCATCCCATATTCGAAATATGACGACCTGTGAGATTCTACCGCTGTAAACTCGTACCATAAATCAGAAGTCGAACCTGTGAACAACGGAAGTTCCTTAAGCACAAGTTGAAAATACTGTTGTATTAGGTTTGAAGCAGGATGTAGCAGTCTAAGGTGTGTATCTGGTCACGAACGATAGGCGTCGATCAATTGATGGCGGGAACAACTCACCGAAAGCCAATCTATGGCTGGAGTTCTATTATGTCCACACACATCATCAATCCTTGAACATCCTCCTTTCGTAACACAATTATTCTGGCATCCCAAAGTAGCAAGAACTGTATTCGAGTCTTGCTCACATAACAGATCGTTGGTAATAGGTACGCTATCCCATAACGAGATGTGAACAGGTGAAAACACTATGGTGATGACGATTACCGAACACCGCTATTAGTAGTAATGTTGAGTAAAACAAGCAAACTTTGCGATTTACCATAGAGATTCTACAAGCCAGATCAAGGAATGCCCAAACATTCAGAGAACCTCGTTTCCAGAAGTGACCACACTCCTCTAATGCAAAATTATCCACCCTGGAATATCATTATACTACTTTGGGTGTTCGAAGGTAATTCAGCCTAATCATTGTGTGATTTGGATGGTGCCTCCAGCAAGTACTCTCAATAATTGGAGGTCGTGGTTAATTGGGAATGTAAAGAGGAAAACAGAGATAAAGTGATATGTTTATGGTCTGTACAGAAGTAGGAAGACTGAATTTAATGGTCCAGCGTAGTTGTCGCGGATTCCAACCCTAGGTCCCGCTCAAGATCCAGAATCGCCTGCTCTATTTCATAGTTCTTGCCCACCAAACCGACCCAAGTCTCTTCCAGTTCTTTCAAACGAGTCCCTGCAGTTGTCTGTTCTTGTTTCCGTTGCCAATTGATATCCTGAATTTGTCTCCTAAGACAGAACAAATGAAACCGATTCAGATGAAGTATTCCGAAACTACTTAAATAAATACCAACAAAAAGAACATTTTATGCTTGATAGGCTAACTACGCTGCCATTCATTCACCACCTTACTCATCAAACTTATCAGTTTTACCGACCCGGGTCCTTGGGTTATATCGCCAGTCAGTCAGGCAGAATAACATGATACGATGAACTAAACTCATCAACTGCATTTTAACTCGCATTCGATTTCATTTGTACTGTAACTTTAAACGACAAAACTTCCAGAGAAGGATTACAGTACATTCAAAAGCAAATTGTGAGCTCGACAGAATAGGCTGAAGCATGCTCAGGAAAATCGTGATTAAGGTAGACAACGATGCAAAGTGACAGAAATAATGACATTTATGTAGCTAGCTAACCAAACGTGTGCAAACAATTCAGAAATACCACTTTAGTACACATAAATCGTGGTAAGAGAGTGAGCTTTTCGACGAATTCAAATGATTTCAAACGTCTCTACTCACCGACTGTGGAAGCACGTTGTACGTATAGGTAAGGGGTTACTAGAAGACCACTCAATCCTCACTGGACAATGTATGTAGATACGACTCAAGTACCTTAGTTCCTTCGTGGTTTTCGTACAAACGTTTCGCGCAACCGACAATCGTACTTCCATGAAACCCGACAATGCCCGCATCGAAATGTAGGTTATTTTTAGGATGATGATGAAATCTTCTGTTTGATTTGTGTTTCGCAGATGGTAATAGAGGAGGAGTTAAGAAAAAAACCCCCTGAGCAGTCCGAAGTGGTCCAAAAAGTTGTGCCCTGGGTCCCTGCGAAATGTTCGATCAAGCATATCTTCGGTGCACGACCGTTCAGCTGCAGCACCCTTTTGGTGCCTAGCTGCCATGTCACACGAAGGAAGCATGAGGGCTGGGATACTGCCAGACCGCCCAAGCCTAGACAGAGGAAGCAGAGAGGCCGAGGTCGGGTTCGAACCACGGACCTTCCGGTCAGTAAATTCGCCCTCTAACCACTGAACCACCTCGTACATATTTTCATATCCATAGACCCTGTACTGTGATGACACGCAGACCACCGGTGTCCGTCTTTTACCTGTTCTAGAACCATCGACTGTTTGGCTTTAAAGAGTGAATATTCTACTATCTATTGAGATCGGGATAGGTCGTACAATGAAAGAGCTCATCACATCAATGTTACCACCGACAGAGTGCTAGTACGGAGTGCAAAATACGATTTGCCGCGGATGAAGAGTAGGTGGTGATGCCTTGGTCGCTTTTGGCGTGTAGTCCACAAATATGGGAACACTTGAGTTGTCATATCAAACTCAAGCTCTGGAGTGAATAGCCTAGAAATGCCGCTAATGGAAGGTATCAACAAGATGTCATCCGCTCGGCTAGCCCGGCAACGTCCAAAAGAAACAGAAGTCGCGTAGCGACAGTAAGTTGGCAGATGCTTCTGAAGCAAAACAGGAGGATCCACCTAGCTTAGTTCAAGAATGGAGGCCCATTGTGTTTTCACCGCTTTTCGACGGAGCATCCGTTTGCGCGCGCCTGACTCAGTTTACAACCCGAAACGCTATTTTGATGTGCACGTACGGACTGCACTAGACCAGTTCGACTATCTAATTGTTATACAAAATTTCAGAATATCAGTGGTGTTATCATTAAACGTTGCGAATGAAACTCACGGAGACTAAGAATGTCATGCCCTCAAGAATTTTCATTGTTCGACAGGTAAACTCGAGGAATGCATGCATTTGAAAACGAAAATTAAAAGACTACTCCGGCGCAAGAGCGCTAACATCGGATGTTTGGGATTTGCTCCTACAACTTAAAAGTTGGAGTTAACTTCCGCAGAATATGCAAAGCTGTCGTAGAAAATTGAATTAGGGAAAACGTTAAAAAAAAGCGACTGTGTTCAGTGTGTCGTGTAACGTTAACCGAACACGATTTACATGGACGAGTATTCTTCCAAGGCACGAGAAAATGACGGATATAGTGAATAACTTCCGGGGGACATTGATTATGCTTCGTTCAAGGTGGACGCAGGGATCAACCCAGACATTTATTCAAAAAACCTTCATGCGCAAAAAGTACTTCCGGCTTCCTCCTCTAAGAGTGGGTCCAAAAACATGGATAACACTAGCAAACTTTTGCCGAAAAGAAGCGTGCCTGAAATCTCTAGTGAGTGGAAGAAACTTAATAAACTTCCACTACCACATGAAAACCCGTTAAAAGTGGAAAGAGGCACACAAACTTTCTAAGACAACCTAGAATAAAACACTCATCAGCCCGAAGATTCCCATTATGAGACTGACTCTAGCTGGATGCTGTCCTTTGCAACATGGATGTCAGCACGAAACGTACGATGGATTAATCACAGAATTATGGATTAGAAGGGATAAATCTAAATTAGTCAAATGATCGGCTATGAAGAATGAATGAGATCACGAATGATCGCTGCAGAAGCGAAACTGGTTAGGTGACTGGGGATCCGAAATAGAGTCCAGCTTTAACAGATACATGAGAACAAAGATAATCCTTCGTAACACGAGGCTCTCGTTTCTCTCCATACCTCGCCTAAAGTGTCACAATAACTTCATCGTAATATGCTCACCTACCCATCAATTTTCCGCCCTAAACATTCACCCATGAAACCTTGTTATTGCATCTCCTATGTTGCAAGCAGAACTCCTTACTTCGTTCTATCAAAACCCACGTTCTGTTAATTCAATCACTTAGACTCGCAGTTTTCCATTAATTTTACGCAGCGTACTGATTGTATTTTTGCAACAGGATTATTAATCTCAGTAGCCGAAACGGGTCCAGTGACAATGAACAGGGATCAAACTGTTTAATTTTCTGTTGACGTGTAGAACAAGACACAGGCCTCTATTCAAAAAAGATGCGTCCCTACTGAGAGGGTTGTTGGCCAGAGACAACCGAATGAAAATAAAGTCAAATGCTAATTCTTTTAAATCTATACCCAGTTACTTATGAGCTGTTTGTTCACAGAAATGCATAAAACCTGGCATTGAATAATACCTCAGGAGAGCTGAGAAAAAGTACCAAGTGAAAATTGAGGCTGGTCAGTTAGCCTTCTACATCGGAAACTGGAGACTTCAGGTTCGGCGGACGCATGTGAACTAACGAAACCCACGGTCCTAGACAGGGGCGGCAAAGCTCTGTGGTCTTTCTGTTTTACGACCAAGTTGAGATCAGTTGGGAACAGTGAGAGAAACTTAGAAAGCTGAGCAAAAAACTGAAGACCAACAATATAACTTATGCAAACCATTCGTTTTACATGGGAAACAATTTTTAAAAGATAATTATTTCAAATACTGGTACCTACCTTATTTCTAGCAGTCGCTTTTCGTGTATACGCAGATCGTTCTCCAAAATGTCATTAAACTGCTTCCACGCGTTGCAGCCATATTCAGCCATCAACTCTAAATTCTTTATTCGAGTGGCCTGATGTTCCAATTGAGCCTGTGCGAAAAGAGTAAAATAAGAAAGTTCGACAGACCTCGGCATTTTCCATTGCATCTTGCCAAGCTTTCACGTCGGTCATTTTGCCAGCTGGCGGGGGTGGCAATTCGTACCGCTTCATGCTGAGAAGTTCCATTGGGAGGCGGTTTGCCAGCCGATCGTACTCCGCTTTCATCATATCCGTTTCGAATTTCGGTTGAACCGGACCACTCAGAGAAGGTAAATGCTCCAAGTAATTCTTCGTAGGTCGATAGCGCTTCATCTCTTCCTCCACCAGTAGAGCTGCAGCCTCCCTAATACCCGGATCATCATAGCCCTTATCGAAATAGGGCAAGGCGTCAACGACTCCAACGTATTCAGAAGTCATTACTGATTAATACTGCGTTTGGGTTGCCTAAAACCAAGGCTGAAAAAAGGAGTGTTGTTAGACTTCCAGAGAAAAAAAACAGGAACTCAGAGCCCCAAAGTAGCAAGCATGTTTACGACGGCGCATCTCAATTGGGTATGTTTACGGATTATGCAGATAAGGTTGGAAGCAATCTGGAATACGGTATCAAAATAACGAAATAATTTAACAAAGCCGTTCCATAATTTTAGTTCAGCATCGATTCGCGAAATCGAGGACCAGAGGGAAAACGGATGTGTTCTAGAGTTAGCAAAATGTACGCAGAATAGTGTGCCTATGATTGTTAGTATTCTGATTTTCCTCTTTTTCGTCAATCCCCTGGGCCTGTTATTTCATCACTTTCATCCGTTCCAACGTGTTGTGATCAACCTTAATCGCATCTAGGGACGTTTTACCTGAGCTGTGTGACTTGAAATGATGTCTGCATTGTCTACCCCTGATTGGCTTCTCGCATTTGCTTAAATTTGACTGCCTTGGCTCGCGAGCTGCATTCATTTGCAAACTAATTTAACTGAACCCCAGTTGAATCTCGTTTGTGATATGTTGCGAATGAATATGCTGTCCAAAGGTCGTCTCACGTTTCAGTTGGTACGATGTTCGAAGAGTCGCAGTACGTTGTCCGGACGGAATACACTGCTCATCAGATTATAATAATCACTTCATAGTGTTTCATCCGGGTTGTGTGGCTTGAAATGATTTCGTTTGAATGTTTCCCGTCTATGACTGGTATCTATATTTTTATGGCTCGAGTTGTTAGAGAGCGAACATCCTGACCGTAAGGTCTGTGGTTCGAACCCGACCTCTGCCTCTCGACTTCCCCTGTCTAGGCTTGGGCAACCCGACAGTATCCTAGCCCTCGTGCTTCCTTCGGGTAGCATGGCAGCTAGGCACCGGAAGGGTGCTGCAGCTGAACGATTCAGATTCAGAGTGCCTATGAGTATAATCCCGAATCCATTGGGTTAGAACACTGCCGAATTCCGCCGATTCCTGCAGCCTGAACTGTCCGATAAAGATCAGTTGTGATATGATCTGTACATGTAATGTTGAGGAGCTACCTTTGTATTGTTATCCAGAGAAGAAAATAGAACTTTGCACCTGGACTTAGTTTGTGCAAACGAATAAGGGATGGCTGTAAAAGAAGCGTCTTCTGGCACTTCAACTACCGAGAATCCACTTGGGTAGCAAAAACCGGGTGCTATGTGGAGGAGCGATGACAGGGTAAGAAGAATACATGATGGGGAATGCTAGTGACATCGGTAGCTGAAGCGTCAGCAGGCAAATGAAATAGCCTACGGTCGTACAAAAATGCACGACAAAATGCGTTCGTCCATCAAAAGACCGTCAAAGGAAATAGCCGGGCACCTTCCAACAGGTTCCACCTCCAGAAATAACCACGCAGGAATAACTAACCTGTGGCAAAGTACTCGGGTAGCAGAGTTCAGTAGATAGTTTAGAACGATGGTTATTGGAGTGGAAGATGGATTGCAGTGAGTGAGTCAGTTAGGGAGGGTAGAGAGAATTTGCCGGTGGGGGTGAACGAGAAGCTACGACAGACACAACTCAAGACATTACAGAACTGATTACAGAACCTGACGGGGTCGCCGTTTGAAGCATTGGTAACGGATAGTGAACCATGATGTTTGGTCGCTGAATATCTGGGACTGTTCGTGCTCCGGTGTACAGAGTTTCGCATCAGTAATCTGACTACCTATTTGCCATCAAATGTATGCCAGCACCCACAAACGTAACATCCCCTAGGTCTCATCAGCCACAACGACCAGTTTCTACCTGCCATGCATAGCAACCCAGGCCCACTGAACCATACACTCACCAAGGATCACAAATGGACATGGTCAGAAGAATGCCAACGCGGTTTTGACTCTGTCAAATCCACACTAATTTCCGGTTTTCTTTACACCCACTACGATCCGTCTCTAGAAATCGTTCTGGCACCGGATGCTTCGAACTCATAAAGTGAAAAAAAATCGCTCAGCTGTAGTACCCTTTCGGTGCCTAGCTGCAATGCCAACAAAAGGATTCACGAGGGCTGGGATACTACCAGGTTGCCCAAAACTATTCAGAAGTCGAGATGCTGAGATTGGCTTCGAACCATGATTTTTCAGATCAGCAAGCTGGTGCCCTAACCACTGAGTTATCGCACATACGCACTCAAAATGCTTTGATGGTTTCACTTTTACAGGAGATAGAAAATTCACAACTGAACTTCCTAGCTCGACTACTTGGTCATCATTGAAACCCAGGCGATCACCGTTCCCTCAACTGCAATCGATCTCCGCACCTATTTTAATTAGCAACTCCTGCAGTCTAATCTTTGTCCACTGCAGCAACGATGCCATTTACCACGAAGACGCTGATATACGCTTGGAGTTTGTCGTCAAGTTTCATAAGTTGCTTTGCGGCTGTCAGTTTACCTTACTACCTTATCTTACCATGTGACCTTACCGACCACAAACCGCCTCTCATTGTGTTTGGCTCGAAGAAGGACCATGCAATGGTACAGTGTTTCTGTGATATGAATTCAAAATTAAATGCAGTCTACCACCAACGTCGGACAAGCCGACGCACTATCGCGTGGGCAGGCCAAAACCAGGGGATACTGTAGTTGCAACGATTGCCTGGGAACCAAAGGTGGAGCATTTAGTATCAGAAGCAGTTCCTACTCTCCCAGTGACTACCGACAGAGTCCGTCAGACTAGAGACTAAGAGCCGGTGCTGCACCAGGTTATCGAGTACCAGCGCAATCAGTTGCCGCGTCGCTGTCCAAAAGACTGATTGAGACACTACTTCAATCGGCGCAACGTATCATTATTAGTCGACAGACACCTTTCATTTTCAGAACACGTTTTCGTTCCAAGGGAGTTACAACCGGAAGTACTGAATAAGTTTCATAAAGGGCACCAGGGAACAAACAGGATGAAGAATTGCTCTGAGATACGTCTACTGGCCTCTGATGGACTCGAAGAACGAGCAAGTCCCCAAATCTTTCTTGCGGTGCGGTGAAGCAACCAAGTCACCTGTGAAAATTTATCCACGGTCATGGCTGCAACCGACCGAAACTTGATTTCATCTTCACATCAACCATGCATGTCTAGTGGGTAGCCAACACTTTTTGGTCGTGGTAGATGCTTAAAGCAAGTGGCCGGAAACTGTCCCAGACCCGCCACTACAATTCTGGAACTCCAACGGTTGTTCAGTCGCTTTGAAACGCCAGATTATCGTACGCAACACCGGCAGTCGGTTCATATCATCAGCGTCCGCAGAGTATCGTCTGAAGTATGGTGCAGCTCATGACCGCCAGCCACCGTTTCATTCATAGTCGAAAGGCCAGGCGGAAAGATTCGTTGACACCCTGAAGGATGCACTTCAGAAGTTCAGAGGAAGGGACCGACGGAAGACATTTTGCAAAGATTTCTGTCGGTATATCGAGCGACGCCAAACCCAAATCCGCTTGATGGAGTGTCATCAGCAGAGGCACTGCCCCAAAGGAAGCTTCGAACATAGCATGACAACACCCGACCACAGAAAAGGCAAATGAGTCTCTGCAATACGAGAATGGAGAATCAGTTTAACCGGCATCATGGCACAACCACATTCCTTCACCAGCGCAGCTGAGTTTGCTGGTAACGGCTTTCATACTTCGCTGTCAAGTCATTCTTTGACCGCCTCTGGCACGTTTCCACCCTTCGTAGTTGTGCGGAGAACCCTTCGGTCGACTGGCGTATGCAGCACGTGGCCAAGCCAGCTCAATCTATAGTGCGATCAGTTCCCCTTCCGTGGGTGGGTAACTTCTTGCGAATACCATTTGACGTACTTCAGCATTGCTTATGTGGTGTTCCCACCAGACTCGGGCAATGCTCCGAAGACATCGATGGTCAAGCACTGAAAGTCTTTTTACGTTTTTGGCGTGCAGCGGCCATGTTTCTGATCCGTATATGGAGCGCACAGTGTTGCAAACTCGACCCTTGACGGACGGACTGATGTCACGCCTACGCCCCTGGTGACGCAGGATCACGAAAGCTGCTCTGGCCTTCTCATCCGGATGGAAATATCATCTTTCGCGAGACCACTTGGACTGATACATCTGCCCAGGCAAACAGATTTGTCTCGTCCATTCTCAACATGCCCGAGAAAGGCGTCCGCCGAGTCTCCTCCGAACGATATGTGGACGCGCTTTCCGTCATTCAGAGGGAGGTACCAGTCCAGTGACCACTGCTTTACAGGGACTACAGCCGTCTTGAAGGCGCGACCGTTTGAACTCTGGGACTGCCAGTTCTCCGTAAAGAGTAGACATGGACTTGAGAGCACATCTGGAAGTTCATTGACTTAGATATCTCAGTGGCATCACATTAAGGACCGGGAGGTCCGTTGTCCGAAACCAACCTCAGCATCTAGATTGCTCTAGGTTTGGGCAACCTTGCAATATCGCAGCCCTTGTGCTTTCTTCCGTTAGCATGGCAGCTAGGTACCAGAAGGGCGCTACAGCCGAACGACTGACGTAGATCAGAAACCGGAGTGGTCCCAAAACAGAGCCTCAAGGAACTCCAATGGAGACAGATGCCGAAGAAGAGTAGGTCCAGGTTACTTTTACTCCAAATGGCCTGTCGGACAAGAACAGCATATAATTTCCCCTTGAATCCCATAAGGTTCCAGGACGGGACGTGAGACTCAATCAAATTCTTTTGAAGAGTCGAAAAATATTGGGTACAATAAGCTCTGCTCCGTCGGTGGCTCGGCCCGAGCACCCAATATGTCTGCAATGCTGGACCGACAGGATATGCAAGCCATGGGTGACTGAAAGTAAACCCTATATTCGGAGCTACGTCAACAAACTCTAAGGGAGAAGTGTTGGGCGGAATTACGTACCCATGCAGAGTTACCGGTTGCAGTGAGGCACTGCTACTACCACGAGTCATATCCCGCACGCGATTGGCCAGAAGAACGG